TATATATATATATATATATTCATATTCTCTCTCCCTGTAGGCCTGTCCCACTTTCTCTCTCTCATATTTTAAAATCCAAGACATTTTGGATTTCGGGAAATTGCTTTTAGGCTGTGTTTGGGAACTATAATCAAGAAGAAAAAATAAAATAATATTTATATTTTTAAAATGGTCGAACTAGTTATCTGATTTGCAGGTTGAACCGGAGGTCCAGCCGGTTCCCAAGGGTTCAAGGAGAAAAAATACTTCATTATATATTTTGGACCGGACCAGCCACCGTTTCACGATCGAACCAGTCAAACTGGTTGGTCTGGTTTTCTAAACTTTGGGGTATGTAATATTATTTTTGTGGACCTGGTAAGTGTTAACTTTATCTTTTATTAACAAAATTTGAATGACTGTGGTTTCATCATCTATAATTCAAATGAGCTACTTAGACTCAGTGATATTGGTAATTTGGGATATTCCCCAAATATCATTATGAATGACTTGAAATAGTTGACAGGCTTTATAAATATTCCTTGGTCATGTTTTTGATGTGCTTTGACGGTTGGCATGTTTCACCCTAGAACAACTCCTTATTTTATTGAAAAAATAGAAAGGAGAAAAGTTATTGACATTACATAAAGTTGAGATGACTAAGATGAAGCTATCATAACAAGGTTGCAGTCTTTTTATAATATTATATATATTCAACATATTTTTACTAGTAATTTTGGTTTTTTCTTAACATTTAGGAGTTAGCATTCGACCTTTTTCTAGCATTGCCAATTATACTTCCCGACAGTTCATATTTTTGGCATAATTGATTTCACAATCATTAGAGAAAAATTTAGCGACAGTTCATATTTTTGGCATTTTTTCTGGTATTTAAAAATTGCTTGAAAGTCTTAGGAATCAATATGACGAACAATCCCGATGTAAGGTTTTTTTAAGCAACATTTTATCTTGAGAAATGAAAAGATATCCTTTGTCATAGTATCAAATGCACCTACTTTAACAATCTATGATTGGAAATTCTTAATTTAAGATTAAATACATTTTTTACCATAATTTTTTCAGTCATTGATCCGTCGTCGCTGATTTTGGCTATAGTTGGGTTAGTTTTGAACTGGTTAACAATCATTAGGGGATTAGTTTTGAAACTGTATCATATTTTTATTAGAATATATGGTGTAGGTTAGTTAGGATCAATCTCGGATCTTGAGAAATAATGATTTTATTTCCGAATTATCAATCAACATGTTTCTCATGAAATATTCAACATGTTTCATGTCCATAGGGGTGTCAATTTGGATTAACAACTTGAATTGTTTGATCTAATTTTGAGTTGAGTTGAATCTAGATGACTCGAACCTATCCCATTTATTAAACGAGTTAGAAAATCCTTGCACTCGACTTGCCTTCAATTTCATTAACCTGAGCCCCACTCGAGTAACCCATTTGAAAATAAAGTATCATAGCCATTCATGTAAGTTTGGTTCAAATTCCAATCAGGTTTGATTTTGTGTTTCAAATTGGGGTTAAATTTGAGTAAATTTTGGGTTAGTCAGTCAAATCGAGTCTGACCGTAAAATTAAATGTGTTATGATTCAGACCCAAACCTGACCCGAATGTTAATCAGGCTAATGCAAATTAAAATTTTTCGAGTCAAGTTGTTATGTCAGAACATTTTTTGACTCCTAAACTTTTACTTTCCTATAGTTGTAATAGTGATTGCCCAAAATTCCTTGTATTCTTGTGGCATGTTGCAGGAGGTAAACGTAACCCCTGAGAAGTGTGTGTCAATTTTTGACGTTAGAGGTTATTCATGCCCCACCATCATGATTTTTTTTCTTCTGGGACTTCAAAAGAGCAATTTCTATATAGATGGTATGGTGTTCATTTCAAATGCATTGCCTCAAATTTCATCAAGATACGATTTTTTTTATATATGTAGCATTCTTTAGACACTTCATCAATATACTTCTATCTGTTGCCAATATTGGGTGAGAGTGTTGTAATATTGCGTAACAGGGAGCTCATCTTTTAAAGATCATGGAGGGCATAGTTTGATTCAAAGTTGCTTAGTTTGATTGTCACAATACATCTCATTTGTGATTTCACAAATTTATTAGTAATCCTTTTGATAATGGAATTTCAGTTTTCATTTTCCATGGTACTGATAAGCCAGTGTGCTAAAATATTATTTTGAGAACATCTTCTAAATTTTCTTTCTTCCATTTGAGTAGGAATGACAATATCCATGAGGTAATCTTTTTTTTCTCAATCGCTGATGAAATGCATGATTGATCGTGATCATTGAAGGTTATTACGGTTTCCATGAAGAAATGATTCAAGGTTGGAAGTGGTGCTGATTCTATTATCGGATTTCATTGTCTTTAATTTTCATTCTAGATTTGAAAGTAAGATTGAAGGCACTAGAGAACTTTGATGACTACGATTGTCAGGGGGCATTCTTTGATACCATGTTGAAAAGTATAGGAAAAAGGGATTTAATTTTCTTGTTCTAATGAGCAATTGAAACTACACTATTTCTGGAGGATACAAAGACGAATAGAGTGCTAGAGAGTGACCCACCCAGATAAAGAAAGAGAAAGTAAATTGAAATATTGGAAAATACAAAATATTCTTCCTTTTTCTTTTTTATGGAACCAAATTAGGAGAAAAAAATGCAAACCATAATCCAAATAAGTTTAAGTGCATGAGAAAACTGCAGGAACAAAGTAGAAATCAGAACTGACGGGGAATCGCAGCCTTCATTATGAAGGTTTCCAGAGTAGGATCTAGATAATCAGCATGCATATTTTATCGTCTTCTTTACTTCTGTTGCTTTTTTCGGTTTCCAATTTTGTTTCAAATTAATGCCTTCTAAATATGTTTATTGCAGTTTGTCCTCAGCCCAATTCCATAGTTAAAGTTTTATTTTGCTTTTTATATTGTATTCATGGTGAACTATCTTTTAGTTTAGTCTCAGTTTTGTAATTACACGAGATGATAAGCAAGCTTGATTGTGCAGAAAAATGCAGGCGTTGAATTCAAGTAAAGTGATGCTTGAAAAAATATCACCATGAACAAGAAATATATTGAAAGGTTTTTCTCTTCTCCTCTAAAATAATTTTTTTATGTTATACTTTTTTTATTATCTTTTCGCTGATTTTTTAAAATGTTATTACATTCTCGTGCTAACATGGATGCAATTGAGTCATTTTGTTTATCAATGCAAATTTATCCCTTTGTGCTGTACTTTTTTCCATTTGTTTCATTTTCACGTTGCTTTTGCTATTATGTTTCTTAATAATTGATATTACAGCTACTGTTGAGTTTTAAAAGTAGAAGTGAGAGAAACCGAGGATGGAACGACATGTTAATATTATTGTAGGTGAGAACGGTCTTTAAAAAATTAGAATAATTGAGGGAGATCTAGATCTTAAAGAAAAAAATAAAAAATAAAAATAGAAATGAATTCAAAAGTTATGATGATCATGTTGGCAACTCGAAAAGGGGTATGAGAGGCGATAACACTAGTATAAAATGCATACAAAGCTTGAATCGAAAAGAATGATTGATGAATGCTACCACTAGAAGGATTCAAGGTATATATTATTCCCATGTGCTATTAATCATGTAAATTCTTTGATTCAACATTCAAATATATTTTCACCCTACTTCATAGAATGTGTTTGTGTAATTATTTTAGGGAAAATTGTAGGAAGATTTACATTGATAAAGATGAATCAAACGTATTCTAAGAGATCTTTCTTCAACTTCTTGTTAAAGACGAATCTATTTCAACCTTCAAGATAAGATAATGGTATTGCGATAGTACACAACAAGAATAAGTTAATGCCATATGTAACTAGAAAAGTTTTGCGTTAGTGGCTGGGTAAAAAAAAAATATAGACGAGACTTGTAACTTTTGGATCTGTTTTGAGATGAGTGCAATACATATCTTATCAGTCAAAATCTGTATTTTACTCATCTTAAAATAAATCCAAATGCTTCGAACCTTGGAATATCCCGAGCCCATTTTGTCATAAGATCTTTTTGCATTGTATTTGTGGGAATAATAAAAATGAGATGAGAATCTCAATTAAAGGAATATGCTTTCACCATGAGAAGTTTGAATTTCTAGCTTTTATGTTTAGAAGGTTACATTTTCTAACGTTAGAATTAAACCCTTTAACTCAGCAGTTTGACCATTCATATACTGATATTTCCTGTATTGGCATTTCTTGGTCGCTCTTTTTATTGTGTAACTTCATTTTGATTATACCATACATACGTTTTTTTTTTTTTTTAATTTACAAATTTATTCGATGCATTTGTTTCTTCCTGAAAGAGTTTGTGAGAAACAGGTCGAGTGTAGAAGTGCTTCGGATCAAATATTTGTGGAGAGTAGTATGGTATGGAATAGAATTAATGTTTATTTAGTGTGATCCGTATAGGAAAAATATGACACCAAATAGGACGCAATGGAGAAAAGGATGCATGTAGCCACCCCACGTCCTGGGATTAAGGCTTTGTAGTTGTAGTGTGATCCGTATGAGGAATTCTAGAAATTGTTGATCTTTATAAAAAAAAGTTTAAGTAGTTATGATTATGATAATTGGGGGCGCATTCTGGCATTTTGTATTGAAAGAGAGTTCATATTGATGTTATTTGGATTAACAACAGCTGGGTAAAGGTCTTTTTGCAAACACCAATCCTGCCATGTCAACCTCGGTCCCTCAACTTATCCCTTAGAGCCGCCTCATCTTCTTAAAAGTGGAAAACTAAATCGTGTGAAAGTCTGCACAATACCTTTTTGGGGTATTTACATTCATACTGCCCAATTCTTATGTATGTACATATTTTACATCTAATCATTGTTTTTTACATTTATACAATCCAAATCTTTTGTATCATCATAAAATGCCATCATTTATATATATATATATATATATATGATGAAATTTAGGTGTTAGATATGTAAATAAATAAGAATTGAGTGGTATGCATGCAAATCTTCCTTTTACCATTCACACCCGGAATAACTTCGATTGTTTTATCTCTCTACAGTCGTATACTTCTCCCAGTTATGGACTGCTTAAAATCCGTTATTTTAGTCCTTCAACACAATTATTGCCATCTATCAGCTGATTGGAACTTTTTTCCTATTTAAGCACTAGCATTTTATTCGTCACATGAACCTGCAGAAATGGCGTGCCCACTTCATTTTCTTGGTTGATAATGTAATATAGTCTGTCATGAAATCTTTAAACTAATTCCATAATCTACCTAAACTTTAAAGTGCGCAAAATTTACATTGATAGCAGTTATATCTAATGGTCTTTCACACAGTATGTATATATATATTTGGCATGTTTATTAATAGCTGCATATAACAAGGATGAACATGAAACATAATAGATAACATACTGCATTGCGGAAGTAATCAATAGGAAGAGAATTTAGAAACATATGCAATTAATTCACTATCATATGAAGTATCATATTACAATATTAAAATAATTAGTGGGGTGAACAAAATTAAAGTTTATGTTACTTTGTATTATGGGTGTCATATGCCTTGTTTTCTCATATTAAACTAGTCAGGGTGAATTTAATTGGAAACACCCTCGTATTATATTTATATGGCTTTGAATATATGATCTCTTGATTGAAAGAATAAACCAAAAGGTTAAGGTTTGTTGAATGTATATGTTTATAGTTAAAAAGGAGTCGATTGAAGACCCTTATTTTTAAAATTGTTTTATATTTGAAATTTGAGATAAATAGCACATTAATCTTTTAAAAAAATATTTTATTGACATGATATTTTAATTTGTTGATTTAACTTGTAGGGTTAGACAACGTAGCAGATTATGGGCCCGTTTGGGGAAGCTTATTATTGGTCCTTTTTGTTGATTTAACTAAAAGGACACCGTTTGGTTTGCGCGTTTTTGAAAATGATATTGGCTACGTTTGGGTTTTTTACACTAAACGTAGGCCGCAAGTCGACCCTCGCGGTCGACTTGTGGGCCGCACTTAATGATAAGCTGCTTAGCTTGAACACATAATATTTCTGAAGTTGCACAATTAGTTAACTTTGGCATATAGGGGATATGCAATTTGTAATAATAAATCAAAGTCTAATTTATGAGGGTTGTAAAAAAAACACGTTGTTTTGGAATAGTTTTCTCGCATTTGGCTTGTTGGGTAGCTTGTGCTCGATTCGTTTGTTAAGAGAGTGGGCTGAACATGCACAATTTTTTTGAGTTTGATTTTTAAACAAGCAGAACATAAACAGTAAGCTTATTTGGTTGTTTTGTGCTCTTTTGAGTTCGAAATAACAAAATTCCAATTTTCTTTTATAATTTTTCATGTATAAATTTTGTTATTTTTAAAATTTGTTTGAGTGGTATAATTATACAAAAGTATTGGGTGGTATGTTTGTAATTATTCTTAATATAATACAATTCTCCGGTTTTGAGAAAGAAATGATCGGGATGGCGGGAATCACCCAATTTTCCATGATGCTGGCCAAGCATCATAAGAGCTACTAGTACATCTTTGACGCAAGTGAAGTTGAACCATGAGCCTTGTGGAATTATCAGAGTCGATATTTATTAACTATATTCATTATTAGTAATTTAAAATATTTAAAACTCGAGTTAAATCAAGTTTAATTCAAACAAATGCATGCTTTTGAATTGAGCTGAACATGAATCATCATTTTAAACACAAGTCGAATATGAACGCAGGAAATTTATCCCAAGTTTAAAATTAAGTTTACCTAAACACTCTTATCACTTGTTGAATCCATGTAGGATGTATGGTTCTATATTATGCCCAAGTTTATTAAACTCATAGAAATCATGTTGTATTTTTGAGAAAGGGGTAGAAGAAAGCGAGGAATTTGTTTTTAGATTTCAAATTATAAAATTATATCTTGTATAAAACTTTGATTGTTCATGATGTCTTCATGAAAAAATTCTCACACCATCTTTTAAATAAAGATGGAGGCATGTCGTTATATGTAAATCACCTGGATGTCAAACCATGTTTTAAATAAAGATGGAGGCATGTCGTTATATGTAATAAAGATCTTTTCTAGGAGCTAGTTCCTTTCTAGCATGATCAAGTACTTGGCAATGTGGGCAACGGGTGGGCTTAATTAGTTATTGATTTTTATTTGGATTTGGGCCTTCGAGTCTTTGATGTCCGTGGAACCTTACTGTTACCCATTAAAAAAATCTTATTTTAGCAAAATGATCCTATTTGGCTATACAATTTATGTGTTAGATTTTCAAGTGCATAAGAATTGGGGAATGTATGGAAATGACCGATGTTAGAAAATCCAACAAAAAAAAAAAAAAAAGAGGGAAAAAGTTAATAAGAAAATGCTTTAAATGGGGATTTTTATGAAATGTTTAGTCCTCATTTGTTTTTTAATAAAATATAGGAAAAGGATTACGGTTTAAACCTTTTTTATAGCTTTCATTAAACTAAGCTCTTCTATATCTAAATAAAACTCAATTTTCTAAAACTAAGCTCTTAATAAAATTATGTATTTATATTATCAACATCTTACTATTTTTTATTTTTATATAATCTTTCAAATTTTAAATAGCTTCATTTATTGTAAATATTGAGCTATTAAAATTAATTAATTTATTTTTTTTAAATCTTCAGATTTATAAATTAAATCTATAATTAAATAAATACTAAATTTTAATTATTAGTATTATAATTAAATTAAAAATTGTGATGTTTAATTAACAATATGTCGATATTTATGTTCTGATGCTTCGTCCTTTGTGGCGGATTAGCGCTCGTCGCTATAGCCGAAGCGGAGGAAGCGAGGAAACCTGCAGCGATCATGGAGGACTGGGATACCGCCGGCAACGCCGGCAGTGGTTTTCGGATGGGAAAACGGATGTCGGAGAAGGGCGAAGTTGATTACAAGTCGAAGGCTGGTACGGCATGGAGCCACTCTTATCTCAACCAGAAGCCATGGCATCCCCTTTCTTACCCTAACCAACGCCGGAAGTGGATCGCCGAGCAAACTCACGCCAACCGCGAGCATCGAGCGGAGGAAATCGCCCGGGAGGTTTTCTCCTCGCTTTCATAGTTGATTCTTTTTCTTAAATTTTTACCTAGGGTTTCTATTCTGCATCCGCGATTGACCATTCTTGGGTGTTTCAGTTCTCCCAGGAGCAGGAGTTCTTTCGCCAGACCGCGCTGTTTTCTAATAAAGAAAAGGAGAAGGTACTCCGTTTTGCTTTTGTTAACTAATCTACGTTACTGCGATGCGTTAAACAGTTGTTTGATTGGACGTGTTTATCATTGGATTAACTTCAATGCTGTTATGATATGCCCTTGTCGTACTCCATTTTTATTTATCCTGATTGTAATTTCGATTGTATTTTCAGCTGGAAGTAATGAAGGCAGTGAGTTTCATGTATGTTCGTCCACCTGGATATAATGCTGAAAGTGCAAAAGCTGCTGAAATTGCAGATGAGAAGAAGAGATCTGATGGAAATAATGCTGCTCAAGCTCCTACTCCCGGAACAACTAATTTTTCAATGTACTGTTGTATCTAACTCAACAAAATTTTAGCTGCAATTTGCAGCAGCAGCATTTAGATTCTTGGTTTGCATTCTTTTTTTGTAATTCTTTCTACAGAACTATATTTGTTATTTTGCAGGAATGATTCAAAACCTGAACTGGAAAAGCCTGCTGAGGACAAGAAGTCCAGACCAAGAGATGTTTTTGGCCGACCATTACCAACGGAGAATGAATTTGAAGTTTTGAAAAATGCTCCAAGGTAATGATTTGTTTTATCATCTGTTTGCATGACGACAATAATAACAAATGGTGGTTGGTATAAAGGCTAAATAGCTTATGTTGCTTGGTCGTCTAATCCTTCTAATGCTATGAATAATTGATTTCTAATTAACAAGAATTGGAGAATTTGGGCCGTTCTGGAAAAAAACCTACAAGTAAGGCTCTTCGAGCAGAGAAATCTGTAGTGTATTTGATCGTAGGCTTTATTTTTTTTTTCTCTTGATTGGTTGCTTGATTCTCTCTGCAAAGCATCCTCCATTAGGTATTTTTTTGGTATTTGATTTGCTTTTCATAGATTGGGTATGCTATTTCCTACATATTTAGTAGGACTTAACTTAATTTTCCCTTTAATTTGCTCACACTGCTGCATAATGCTCCTATAGAAACTTTATAGGGAATTCCCTATTTAAGGCAGTGTTTATGTATTTCAATTTTGCAATTTAGCCAAGGCTTTCTTCTTCTTAGGGACATTTACATACATACCACACAATTTTTTCGTATTTACATTTCTAACACGCAAACGTTCATATTTGCATACATGCTACCAAATCATTACCATTGCATCAAAAATATCTTTTAAAGGTGAAATGCACCTTTTCATGCATAGGATTATGAATCCAAGATGTTACAAATATAAATATCAAACATCGCGTGTTGGATATGTAAATGCCTAAGAATTTTGTGGTATGTAATGTTAATTTCCTTTCTTATTTTTGCAGTTGTAATTATTTCTTATTGTAAAATGCAACTTTTAGTCTTGTTCTTGCTACTAGATGTGTCAATATGCTCCGCATCATTTGGTGATGGAGTGATATTTAATAAATTATACAGATTCAAGCCTCGAGATGTCCAAAAAATTATGGGCATTTACATATGTACCTTCCAATTCCAATGTATTTAACTGTCTAACACTTAAAATTTAATTTTTTACATTTATACCACCCAAATCTTTCATATCACATAATAACTTTTAAATAAAAAGTGAAACATAACTTTTCATGCATAGATAAGAGGGCATGCTTGTAAAACTCAATATTTAAGAGTTAGATACATAAATACATAGGCAATGAGTGGTACTTGTATGTAAAGCTTCCAATTATTATGAAGTGAGGTTTATTGAACCTATATATTTCTTCCCTATATTGAGTAATCAATTTTGTACCATTATTCTCTCTATTGAACTTATGATCTCTTGTTGTATGCAGATTAGAAACTGGTATGCCGGCGAGGGTGAAGCCTTTTGGAATTGAGATTCGTAATGTAAGATGTGTGAGATGTGGGACATTTGGACACCAGAGTGGCGACCGCGAGTGCCCTTTGAAGGATGCAATCATGCCAAATGAAGAAAGCAGGTTGAAGAGGGATGATCCCTTAACAACTATAATGGCACAGACAAGTTCTGCTGAGGTGAATTATTTTAACAACTTTTATGAAATTACTTCAATCTTGATATGAAGTCTACAAAAAGGGGAGTTTATTGATGCATTATGATTGGCTGATTGGGCTTGGTTTGATAAATGATTCGTAAGTTTAGCTCGATGAGCCAAATTGTTTCAAAAATAAATAAATTAAACATAAAATATTTACATGTATAGTACATACCACAATTCTAATACCTAAACTTTTATCTCTACTGTACAGTGCTCATCACAAATACTTTCATTACATTTTTGAAAGTGAAATACACCTTTTCATGCATATATATGTCACCAGTGTTATAAATGCAAATATTAATAGGTTTTAGATATGTAAATACATTAAAAAATGTGGTCTGTATGTAAACTTTCGAAAATGTATTGGAATGCAATGATGTAATTATATTGTTGTTAATCTCATTTGTTTGATAATAAATGAGCTACTCATGAACCAACTCATAACTTGTAAAAATGAGTTTTTTATGTGCTTTTGGTTTCAGCCTGTGAAGTGGGAGCTGAAACAGAGGCCTGGAATGAGCCCGCCTCGTGGTGGCTTTCAACCCGATGACCCAAACCAGCAGATTGTTGCAGATGAAATATTTGATGAATATGGAGGTAAATATGACCTAAACTGTATGAATAATTTCATTACCGTTACATCATCATCTCCATATGTTTCTTCACTTAGGATTCCTCAGTGGCGGTGACATCCCCCTTCCCCTGCTCTCCAAATTTTCAACGGGCAAATCCAAGAAACTTTCCAAGCATAGAAGCAAACATAAGCCCAAATCATCAATCTCCCACACCAAATCTAAGCTTGAATACGAAAACCAGTCCTCATCCTCTGACAAAGACTTTGCAAGGGAAACTAAGAGATCTAAGAAGATCAAGAAAGACGAACCATCACATGCTATGTTGTCTAGGAAGAAGGATAGACGGCGGTCAACAAATAAGTCCGATTCCGATACCAGTCAGGAGAAAACAAGTTCCAGAAAGAGGGAAAGATGTCGATGGTCCAGAGACGATCATGGTGGAAGTTCGTCGGACTCTGAGGTTGATAGACAGAGAAAGAAGTCGCCCAATAACAAGCATGAGAAAAGACATGGTTTAAGAAGCAAGCATTACAGATCACCAGACTCTGAAATTGAGATGGATAAGAGGAGATCAAGAAGTAAGAGGCAAAAGAAAATGAAGAGGCGCCATTCAGTATCAAGTGATTCTGAAAACTATGATTCAGATTCTGAGCATTGTCGAGGAAGAAGGCGAAGGCATCATTAAGCATAGTTGTACATCTGATCGGTACGTTTTTAGTTTTCTTTATTGTGTTTGGGCAGGTTTTTTCTGTGCTCTAATGGCAGCTTCTTTTATTGTCAAATTTGTAATAAAATGATGAATGATTTATGGACAATGAAAATGAAGTTATAGCATTATTATAATAAGAGAGAGATTTCAATGCTAATTTCCTTAATGATGGAATAATATCAACCACAAATTAGAATCGTCAATACACTCATTTTTTTTTTTTTAATTTAATTAATGGTTCCAAGTAAAACTTGGGGCCATTTGGAATCACTTCATTACGTTTTGTACTTTGTTTTTTTTTTTTGAGTATTTTTTAAGATATTTTAATTTATTTTTATCAATAAAAATCAAAATATGTAAAAGTATATATATCAGAAAATTAAATAAAATTATAAAAATGTAAATTTGATCACAAATACATATTTTATATTAGTTTCATGCGAGTGGATTTAGGGTGTGTTTGGGTTGTTCGCATCTTTTTAAATAAGCAGTTGTGAAGCCTATTGATCACAAATACATATTTTATTAAAATAAGATGGGGTGCTCTGAAATAGCAACAAGCGGAGGTAGCTAAAAAAATGCTCTTTTTTTAGTTTTATAGGAGATTATGATGTAAGGAATTGAGTAGCCAGCTACTTCTCTTTTGTTATTTACATTTATTAAAGGTAATAAATTTTACATAAATTTACATATTGATTAATGAGATTTGTAGATATTGCATACAAATTTTCTTCATTTGCTTGAAGGAAATAATATAAATATTTAAATTGTGTGTGTTTGTATATAATATTTAACTAGTCCTATATAACATACTTTTTAAATATATGGATAGATTTTAGTTTTAGTATATTCCCAAAAGAAAAAGAAAAAATCATTACAATTCTTTGGGTTAAAATTGCAAATAATAATTTAATTTGCAACCGATTTCATTCAAGCTATTAGATTTTAGTTAAATCATATAAATCCGAATTTAGTAAATCTTATTTAGTCAAAATATAGATATTGATACTGAAACATGTATTTTGAATATAGAATAAAATAGATTCAATATATGATGAAATGTTTTAATTTATTTATTTGATAGTAAAATAAATTTATTTGTAACATGTATTTTAAGTCATTTTATCTTCTTGAGTTTTTTGTTTCTTTGTGTTTTTATGTAAGTTTAGGATGAATATGCGGCGCATAAATGAGTGGGAATGAGGCCTCATTTCATATTAGTTTCATGCGAGCGAATTTAGGGTGTGTTTGGGCTGTTCGCATCTTTTTAAATAAGCAGTTGTGAAGCCTGCAAAATTGCTTAAAGGATAAATTGCTATTAAAAAGCAGTTGCTGATTAAACAGCACGCACCTTTGGATGATATGTTATGATACAGTTATTTGTGAGAAAAAAAAGATGGTAATGTCATTCTTCATATTTGTTAGTTGCAAATTCACGACTTCAGAAATAATTCAAATAAAATAACAGAAAGAAATTTCAACGGTTCAAAAAAAAAAATTTTTTTCTTATAATTTTACATCAAATATACACTAACTGGTATAAAAAATTAGATAACAGCTAAAAAATGAGATCTTGGTTGCCTCTAAGCTTTTATTACCAAATTTGTATATGTCGATAAGCAAAGCAACATAAAGGTCATACAGAAAAAACCCTCAAGGTCATATGACTCATCATAGATCTAAATAAATAAATAAATAATAAACATTAAAGTAAATAATAACGTAACACAACATAATATTTAATATTTTGTTCAATTCCACAAAATTACATAATTTACAAATGATTGATGAAATACGTAAATATAGAAAAAAGAGAGTATAAAGCAAAAATAAATGTCTAAAATATATAACAGAATTAACCAGCAATACATGTTTCACCACTCAACTAAAGTATTGGTAACATGTTCATTTAGCTGAACCATAATATAAATACTTTCACCATCATGTGTACGGTGATCTTCAACATCTTCAGTATTTATTATTGACTAATCGATCATGTACTCATAAGCCTTTTGTGAAACATGTGTGATGTCTCTAAACTATTAAATTCAATGTCATACCTTGAAGGACGTCTTCATATATATAATTGTGTAATGACATTGTTGTTGTCACTATTTTAACTTATTTGTTACATGAAAATGTTGGCTTGTTAACCATTTCCTTTCTGCCATGAACCACCTCGCTATTTCTTTCAAAATTTGGTAAGTGATCTTTTGTTTCGGTAAATTGTATCTAGTGGATGGGGGCACCTGACATCCACTAGATAGTACTTCCCAATTAAATCACACATAATATCTACAATGTAATAATGCTTCTAAAGAAATATTTACTTCACGTGCAAATAAAAAGAGCTTGGAGGTGACATAAAATTTATATTATCGAGAGCATGCTTTAAATTTAAATACACAGTTATCATACGCACTTCTTTTCCATCAGGTCATGGCAAAATTGTAACATATATTAAAGTCACAAACTACCATAACATTTTGCATCGATGAAACACACATTTCGGTGTAAGTCACCTTCTTATCTTTATGGACACGGATATCCACATGTGTTTCATCAATTGCCTCAATACGGTCATATAAAATAAGTTATTTTCTTAAAACACATTTAAGCAGCTAAAAAAATATTTTTGTTTTTTTCTTTTATAAATGAGATTACCTTGAACTATGACATATAACGATAATCATGTCCAATCTCGAGAGGTGTACTATGAAAAGTTGGATTTAGCAATTTCACATCAACAAATGTCAAGTTAACAAGAGCATCTAAATCTATGCTGAAATATCAACTAATTCATTTCAAAAGTATGTTGAAAGAGCTCACAAGCTGCCCTTATTCACTCATTGTGTGACAATATATAAAGTGTTATCCCCAACACTTCTCTTGTCATTGTTCTTGAAGAGCTTTAGAGACAATGATAATTCAGCAAATCTTGTAAAAATCAGTAAAATATGCTTACAACATATGAAACATATTATAAAATCTCCTTATATTTTATACAAGCAGCTCCCTAATCCACTTATCTCTAATGTAGACTGATGTTAGTGATGTTAGTGATGCTAGTGAAGCTCTTTCTTGCGATAAGGTATGGTTGTACCGACACAAACAAACATTTATTAATCACCACGTAAATGAATATCATAAACTAAAAATCCTCTTTATTTATATAAGATAAAAACAATAAATTAAAGTTAGAGAAATTTATAAGCACGACATAAATATACATAAAAATAGCATATAAAATTTCGATTATGACAAAGATTAAAATTTGACAGACATAAATTACTACAAATTGTTAATCCAATTTTTCCTTCCACCATTTTTTTTAGCATCCATAGTACTTTTTTACGTGGTCCAAACCCAACCACGTTGACCCATGTTTCGTATTCTCATCCAATGTATCACACTTTTTTTTATTATATTATATATGTCTTCCGCTTTACCAAACTTCATTGTAGGTCGATTAGTTAGTTCTACCTCTTTAAAACAGGCATTACAAAAGACAAGCACAACTTCTCTATCTCATGTAGCAGACAAACCGCCTTTTCTTGATTTGCTCGTCGCAACTCGATAGTGTAGAAATGGTAAATTAAAATATGAGAAGTTTAAAATTTGGAAAAAAAAATCAAGGCTTAGATTCAATTTAAAGATGTAAAGAATTTGCCATCAAACCATCAGAAATAAGGCAGAGGACCCATAAAGAAGGAGATTTTGGTTGCCTCACATCAGTATAGGATAAACTTCTTATATATCGAAGCGCATAACTACATAAAGACATTTCAAGAGAACCCAGTATCATATGATTTATCATAGCTCACCCTATGCCCTTTAGTTCATATTGCAACATACCAAAGAAACCAAAAGAAACCAAAGATACCAAAATTTCTCAAATAAGAGAAAAGCCTCCTTAGTGCCCTTGAGCTCATCAAATGACATTTTGGCATACCAAAGAAACAAAGATATGTGTGTCATTACCAAACACACCAGAATGTACACAAGAGGAGAGCTCCTTAAGTTCACCCATTTTCAACAATTCACGTTTTGGCATGCCAAAGAAATCAAGGAAATCAAAATTTCTCACATATATGTCATAACCAAACATGCCCGAGCACATCAACTCATATTTCTAAACGCCAAAGAAACCGAAGAACCAAGAAAAAAAAATCACATATAAATGTCATTACCATACACACCTGAATGCACACAGGAGGAGAGCCCTATATAATGATCATATCACATTTCCATACCGAAGAAAAAAAAAAGGAAAAAGATTCTCATGAATGTCAAAAAATTAATGCACATAAATGCACACAGAAGCAGCAGAGCTCCATAAGCCCCGACCCTAAACATATATCATAAATCACATTTTCACATATCACATTAACTAAAAAATCTAGAGAAGAAATTCATATAAAAGCCATAATCAAATCATATCACAGCAGAAACCAACCCCGCAACACAGAAGAGGGATTTCGAGATTTGCATAAATCCGATCCAAACACAAACAAATGAGATGATGGAAGAAGGAAGAACACACCAGATCGAGATAGGAAAGTCAAGGCATGCTTGCAATGAAGAATGATTGAGAACTAGAAAGATGGAAGCATGAGCAGAATTGAAGAAAAAACCTGAGGGCTGAGTGGGACACTGTGGGGGTACGGTGGGAAACTCAGAGGGAAAACATAAGTGAAACTGTAGAAAGCTGAGGGAAAAGAATGGTAGCGGAATGCTAAAAACAGGCGGTCGTAACGAGGAGAAATCCGGGTCAACGCCACGCCAGATGGGAAAGTGGGATGGTAGGGATGCACACTGCAGCGGTGCCACTGCCCAAAACAAACCATTAGAATACCAACAAGTGACCTATTGGGGTTTCTCAAACGAAAAAAACTTTCAATTTGCTTTTCTCTCGACTAAACTTCAAAATTTTAAAATCCCATTATTCCAAAAAAAATCCATTCTAAATAATCTAAACTAAACACTAAACTTTATTTTACAACATACATTTAGATTTACACTACGAATTCTAGCTAACAAATTGTCCCAATTGATGCCAAGTCATAAGATAAAATCTTTTCTAATTAATACATTTACAGGTCGAAAGGTGTCACGTTTATCACATTCCAAAATAATGAAATCCAAATAATCCTATAAATATGCTGCTAAATTAAAAAAAATTAATTAATTAATCAATTAATCATCATTCATTGGTGTTGCATTGATATCGAAGGAAGAACAAAAAAATCAAGTTGAAGGAAAATGATAAGCATCATACGGTACAAGACTACATTGGTATGTCACTACCCATATTTTTTTTCATTGAATTTCAGGCTTTCAATAATCAATATAGTTTCGTTATTAATTCTTTATTTTTTATTTTTTTACTATATAGAAAAAAAATCATTTCCTCAAAATTTCAAGAGACCTTTGAATTTAGAAATTCTGATCTTACACTATTTATTTATATTAAATTCGGAGTAGAAAATATTTGTCAATTAGTGCCAATGTCATGTAAAATTATTTTTTGTTTTATTATGATATGTTTTTTATTTGACATCTTAATTTGATGCTAGTTTGTTAATTCATTATTTCATTGTTATTAATTTAATAATTTGTAGAAGTATTCTTAGCTCGAAAAATCATACCGACCACACTTTTGTTTATTTCTTTGATGAAGAATTATCTTTAATGTTTTACTATATTTTACATAATTTCTTCTTGTTATCTTAATCATCATATTTCCCTTAAGTGCTTTGGAGCTTCTCACTAAATTTCAACACCAACTTCCCTTTTTCCAAAACTTAGCAAGTTTATCCAAATCCATCCATCCATCCATCCATCCTTATTTTAACTTCACACACCAACTTCCCTTCTTCCAAAGCTTTGGAACTCTTTAATTTTATTTGTCATCGTATGCCATCCATAGAACACTTCTACCATCATAACTTCCCACCTAACAGCCTCTTAGGCTCCACACAAAACCAACCACCTAAAAATAAATTCAAACACAGCCATCCATTCATTGGTCTTGACCACTAGTAGATCCCCACCTACCTCAAAACCTAATATAATTAATGAACATAAGTGTCAAAATATTCTCCCGATGATGCTATTTTAATCTCCGAGTCTATAAAAATATCAATTTAATCCTCAAACTATTAATACGAGCTTAAATAGTCTCCAGAGATAACTATTTCAGTCCATGTTAAAAAAGTTTGGGGACCAATTTGACCCTTTTATAAATTCAGGGACTAAAATGAACCACTATAAGGAATTAGGAGATCATTTTGACACTTTTCTCTATAATTAATCATCTCAACCCCCACAAAAAAAAATCCACAATATAACTTGGATCATAGCATCTACTCAAAAATAATACATTTCTCTAAATTACAAGGTGAAAAATATCAACTTTGTGAAAAATAACAATCACTATCAAACTATTTAAAGATTTTTCATTCACAAAACAATAATTTTCAATTTAAGGATCAAATAGAAGCTGGATGTTTTGCATGATTATCAAAACATAAATCAAATTGCTGAGAGCAAAAATAATATGAAGTTACACAATTAACCAAAACTAATCCAAAATTGGTTATATTTCACCAACTCCAAGCACTGCAATCCATGAGTTATATAAATAATGTCTTTGCACTGGAAGCAACACCAAAGGAGCTGAACCACACATTATATTAAGTGGAATTAGGGGTGGGGCTGTAAATGAGCCAATGCACTTGATGAACAACTCTAACTCGGCTCCATTAAAACTCGATCATGTTCTTTAAAATGAGTAAATAAACAAGCTTTAACAATTCTTTAAGCTCGAAACTTAAATGAACCAAAGATGAACATAGTCAAACTTGTTCATTTATGGTCACGAGCAAACTTGTTTGTTGTTCAACAAGTAACCTGTTAAATACTCGATATTAAGTTCGATTTTCTCGTAACATATATGATATATTATTTAAAAAAAATTAGTTAACTAGACTATTAATTTGTGTGTTGATAGCTCGATGATAGCTTGTATCATATATGATATATAATAATTCAATATTAAGTTTTTGTAGGTTTTAAAGTTGTCATTTTTTTAGTTGTGATTTAAATTGAATCATGCTTCAATGCTACACAAATCATTCTTCTAAATATCGCATAAGTGAGAGTGTTGAACATAAATCTGTCCTTTAGGACAAAATGGAGGAGAAATAAGATTTAAAATATTATAGGGTTTATAGTTTATAATCAATAAATTAATAGTTGCGATCAAACTTGTAAAATTATTTATTGCATTTTTTGTATGAAAATCTACATACTCGTTTATTAGCTCATTTAAATATTTGTTAACTTGTCAGACACAAAGCAAGTAGAATTCAAGTTCAAATATTAAAAAATTTAAACAAGTCAAGCTTGAACAATATATGAAAACTAGACACAAACTCAAGCTGAACATGAACAACTTATAATTATACCACGACAAGTCCAAACTACGATATACTCGGCTCGACTTGGCTTGATTACAACCCTAGTTAGGGGTGCCCATTGCTAGGATAGAACCAAGAAAAATTAAATGAACTGATTTATTTGTTTAGTTCGGTTTAATTATTAGAGTATTGGTTCCATTATTGATTTTGGTTTTATTTGACTTTTTTATGATTAGTTCAACTTTTAGTTTTGTAAAATAGATGATATTTAAAATCGAACTATATTAATCTTTTCAAATGCATCAGTGACAGAAAGATCAACATGGATGGTAGTTATTGTACAGTTTAAATTTATAAATTTAAATGAATAGTATTTTACATTAGTCTTAATATAGGTTATTAAAGATAATTAAATTCATTAATAAAATTATTTACATTTTTTTATCCAAAATTAAATTAAAATGATCAAACTAAAGCGTAGTTCAATTGGTAATATAGATTGGTGGTTAGGCTTTCTGAATTTTATGATCAAAATTAATTAATTTAACTAATTTGTAAACCAAATCAATCAAATGTACACCCCTAATCTGATCCTAATATCAGACACTCTCTCAGATTTTGTGGATTCAAAGATTTCTAAGAGAAAAAAAAAATCAAGGTATCCTCACTAAGATTTTCACCCAGATCATAATAATAACTTTATATATTGTTAAATGAGAAATGATTTATTTCACACACTCCACTATAGCTTATCATCTTCTGTAATCCATAATCCATTTTATCCAATTTCAAAATACAACAATTCAGATCTCATCAAAATAGCGAAATAGAAAAGAAAAAAAAATTCATACCTCAATCAATCAGCGGATCAAAATCAGATCGAAAATCTTGCCGAATCCACCATCTTCCTCCGCAGCAGCTCATCCACGCTCTTGGAAATGCAATATGCCAGAGCCTGCACTGTCACCATAGGATTCACACCGAGCGCCGTAGGAAAAACACTAGTATCCACCACAAACAAACCCTCCATCTCCCAAACTTCGCCGTTCGGACCCACCGCACCCTCCTCCTCGTTCATCCCCATCCTACAGCTCCCCATCTGATGAGCCGAACACATCGGCGTCCTCAAATCCCCAATCCTCCTTTTCCTCACCCCATTAAGAACCCTCTCCACCCCATCCCTGCCTCTCCCCTTATCCCCTCCCACCCACTGCGTCCCCACCTCCTCCGCTCCCGCCGCCTCCAAAACCCTAATCGCCGCCTCCAACCCCTCCTTCAGCCCCTTCTCATCATCCGGAGCGAGCCGATGCGTTATTTTCCCCGGGTAATCAACTGCGCCGCTACCCTGATCTCTTACCAGCGCGAATATGTGAGCGATCCTTGCGAATCGGCGCATTCTGTAGCGGAAATCGGAGGCAGAGGTCCATGGGGTGAGAGCGGCGTATATACCTGGGTGAATGGAAGGTGTTTGGAGGATTACGTTGTTTGAATCCTTTGGCCGTGACATTGAAGTGAGTATTCCACCTTCGTAGCTTCTTTTCATCTTCTCCGGCCAACCGGAGGTTTCCGGGAAGTAGCCCCACGCCATTGCAACGGGATGAAGGTGCAGATTTCTTCCAATGTGTTTGTTCCTCAGCCCGCTTCGCTTAAGAAGACGCGGGGTGTTGAGGGCTCCACAGGCCACAACCGTCACCTATTCAAATTTAATCAAATAATAATAGGGACAATTTAAAATTATGTGGTATATATGTAATTACCCCATTATAAAATAAGCTAATTTCCTAACTTACCTTGGACCTAATTGTGAATTGCAAGCCGGCGGAAGATTCCACGACGACGCCGGCTGCTTCCGGGCGCTGTTTTCCCCGGACCTTAATAACTTCAACAGCACGGCAGCCCGGAAGAATGAACCCATTTCCCGACCTCGCCATATCATCCAGCCACGTCACCAAAGCGCTCTTCTTCTTTCCATCCTTACACCCCCACTGACACCACCCGCAATAATGATCCGGCGGCGCATTACACCCCACGTCCGCCACATCGTACCCCGCTGCCTTACATCCCCGCCTTAACACTTCATTGTTAAAACCCTCCACCTTCACCCCTGACTGTACGCCCAAGCGCCGGCTAACCGCTTCCAGCGCGCGATCGTACGCCTCGCTTCCAAACAGATCGAGCCGCCGCAGGTGGCGCCATTCGCGCCGGACGATATCTGGGGTGGGGATAGAAGCAGACCAGTTGATGGTGGAGCCGCCGCCGACGGTGGCCCCGGCGAGGAGAAAGATGGAAACGTCGTCGGTGGCGACAATGCCGCCGCCTTCGTACATGGCGGAGCAGGTGGGGCCCTCGAGGAGGGAGAGTTCGGAAGTGGAGTAAAAGTGACCTTTTTCGATGAGGAGAATTTTGTGGCCGGCGGCGGCTAGGACACCAGCGGCTACGGCGGCGGCTAGGACACCGGCGGCTACGCTGCCGCCGGAGCCGGAGCCGATGATTACAGCGTCGCAGTGGAGGGTGGGCTTGTTGGTGGGTGTAAATGTGGGTGAAGGGAAACCGGCTTGACGGAGTTTGCCGGAAATAATCTCCGGCGCGTGGTTTAGGTGGAGGAGAGCTGACTGAAGGAGAGTTTCACGGTGGTCTGTGGTGGTTTGACTATGGTCAACATGTGTTGGATCGGGTCCGCAGTAGCCAATTGCCTTCCAGGACGGGTTCTCATGCTTTTCGTCGACCTGTTGCCACGATCCAAAGAATTTATATTTACGTCTTAGGTAATAATGCCAAAATAAATAGGTCATTTGCATACATGCCCCCTCAGTTGGGGGTGCAAGTGAGTCAAGTCGATTCGAGAACCTGTTGCTTCTACATCGGCTCGATAACTGGCTCGTGAACTCGGTTTGATGAGCTAACAAACAAGCTTAAGCTAGCCCCGTGTTAGCTATTGCGGTTGCTCATTTAAAAAATATTGATATAATAATAAAATAAACCAAGATCGGGTGGCATTTAAATAAGTTTTGGTGTTAGATATGTACATACATGAGAATTAAAGGGTATGCATGTAAATCTTTCGATATACTGATGCAGTTAAGAAACTAAATACCTGAGCGAAATAGAGGCGCATGGTGGTGCACTTGATACAAGTATACAACATCCTTAGGTGACGAAAGCTGCTGGAGGACCAGGAATATACTATCTCCTCCCGCTTATTCTGTTCCAGCAACGCGAACCTTCTAACAAATGGGAATTGTGGAGAGAGGCTACGCCAACCACAGAGCAGAAGTGTTCCGTACCATGTCGATAACAGAAGTAAAGCTAGACGTAATATCATCATCTGCGGGTGTACCATACCTCCTGACACAGCCTCTCCGAGCTACAACCGGAGAAAAATTATATATCAAATGCATGCCAAGATTTTTTATAATTATTTGAAAAAAATAATTCAATCTTATTTTCATTTGCAACAAAGTAATTCATTCTCTTGACAAATATGCATAATATTTTAAAATTTAAAATCAATATTTATTATAATAATTGGGAGGACATATTCTAATGAACTTATAATGACTAACACGTTCAGGAATTCCGGCCATGGAGGCAGAGGTTCTGTAGAAGGCGGCAACGCCGTCGAGATCGCCGGAATCATCGTCGGAGTTATGAGAAGGAGGATCCAAGGAGGGAAGTAAGGTGTCACAGAAGGCCACGAGAGACTCCATCTGTCTCTTCGAGAGCCTGTTTTGATGCGTCTGCGGTTCCTCCCACAAGCTTTGTTTCGAGTTCGCCATCGCCGGAGAAGATGGCGGGGGCGATTTAGGCATGGCAAATGAGGCATCGCAGACCTTCGATGAGGCCATGACGTAAATTGGAGCTGCAACTGTGAGTGGTTCGTTAGCTTATAAGGGGGTTATGTGGGGCAGAAGAAATTAATTATAACTAAGTTGAAAGATGAGAGGGTAGGTTTGTAATAGATTGAGATTTTTTTCTTTGGATGAAAATCCGGGATATATTTATTGGGGCTTTTACATACATACCACAAAATTTTTATTTATTTACATAACACTTTTTACGAATACATCTTCTTTTACGTAGATTTATGATGTTGAATATAGGAGAAAAATTTAAGACGTACGCAGAGCTGCATGTGTCAGATGTTATTTAGAGAGTATTGAGGGGTTATAGATAGGTCACAAAGAGATTACAGGGGGTATAACGTGGATATAACCCCCCAATACACAAAGAGATTACAGGGGGTATAACATGGATATAACCCCCCAATACATTCTGAATAACCTCTGATGTACGCAAATTTTTCTCCAAATATAGATACTAAATTTTGGATCTTGAATAAGTAAATATATGAAAATTATGTGGTGTGGATGTTAGCCAAGTTTGAACCCAAGTTATTACTTATAATGTGTATAATCATTACATAAAATATTGTCGGTGGGAAATTTGCAGTTTTTATGGAATGAATGGTTCTAGTTTAGAGAGGACAGATAAGAGAGACCAAGTAGTTAAATATTTATTATTTTATATTTAATTTTTGGTAAATTTACATCCTTACCACACAATTCTTACCTATTTACATATCTCACGCCTAAACTTCAACTTTCATATTTTGAGACATTGCGTGTTTTAAACCAATTCATGAGAACGTGTATTTTACTTTATAAATATGAAAGTTTAAATGTGAATGCGTAAATACATGAGAATTATGTGCTATCTATGTAAATGATCTTTTAATTTTTGATATTTGGTTTTATATTTGACAAAAGAGTCGTATTTTAAATTAAAATATTACTATTTGCAATAATAACAATCATAATTTTACATAAAATAAGATTAGAAGACTAATTTTCTTTATAAATATATTTACTTATAGCTTGTTATAAGAAATAAATATAGTTAAAAATTGATGTGCGCTCATATTTTCCAAAGGTCTCATTCGTGTAGTGTTTGTAATATTTATATGATTACAGTTGGCTGAAATGTAAATTTGGCACGTGTAAAGGTTGCTTTTAGATCAATTTGAAAGAGCACCATCGACGGCAACGTCCAACTTGCAACCCCTCAACCAGCTTTGCGCTTCCCATAGTAATGTCGAGTGGCCCCACCTTTCTTAATTATGAAAATTATGCTAAGTCTTGTCATTTGTTATTGTATATCAGAAATATGTTGGCACAAATATGAAGACTGATGGACGGCTTGGGAAGAAGATATAACTAATCGGACGTAACTCGTAGATGACCGTCTGATTTGACACTAGTAAAAGGAGCCCTCAAAAGATAGTGATTGGCCATAGAATGATCGGTAGGAGTATCTTCTCAGATCAGATGTCCAAAGAATCAAGGCTCAATAAGCGATTGTTGAACTCCTTGTCGATCGAGCCAAAATTCTTAGTTTATTATATACAAATATCTCTATAAATTACCAAAAAAGTTACTCTAACTAATTAATGATAAGAGACTAATGTGTACTTTTATAATGTTTTGACTTATGCCTATAAATAGGGAACATTTTTTGGGGGTTAGTATTCCTTACACGTACTCTCTCTCTCTCTCTCTCGTTCTCTCTCTCTAGAACCTTTTATATTTGGGTGTGTTTTCTAGGCATTTATGGATTTAACAGTTATATAACTATTTTTTAGAATTTATTAATTCAAGCTTCAAAGGGGGCAATTACATACAATCCACCCAAAACTTGCCATTTACAAATTAACCCTCCTCTTTCATCCATTTTTCGAAATTCTTGCTCAAATATCATAAGTCATGCTAAAAACCCAACCTATATTTTTCATTTTTATCAAATTCTCATATATTCTCGCATAAATACATTGGATCGATAGTTAAAAAAAAATCACCTAGATTGTTAATTTGTAAATGTCAATGTTCCAGATAGTTTGTATGTAGGATTTAACAAAACTTAAAATCAACTTTAATATTATATATATTACTAAATTGCCTAATATATATTAAAATTTATTATTTATATAGAAAAATTGCATATTCGAACAAGAGCAATTGAGCAATTGTTTACCTGCATGATTTGTATATAAATCTTTATAGATTTTTTTTGCTATCTAAAAAAATTACTCGCCCTTAAAATTTGACGTTGGTTTTACCCCTATTTAGGGAGAAAATATTACGTTTGTTGTCCGAACGTGTGGACGATTGTGTGAATCACACATGTCATAGGTCTGACAATATGATGCAATTCACATAATTGACTGCACGTTTGATTTAACAGACGTAATATTTTCTCTTATTTAAGGTAATTGAAACTCCGTTAAGTCTTTCAAGTCTTCTAGAGCATAGGATATTAGAATTAATGGCTATGGGACCTATGGCTATTTTTGTTGTTAGATTCAAAATAAATTGTTCAGATTGTCATATAAGCTTATTGCTAATAAGATGTATTGATAGTTAAGATATGGACACAAATATAACCAAAAGCTAGCCGACATACTTTTTGTATTAAAAAATAATAATAATTAGCTATTAAAACTTTGAATTAGGTAAATGATTAAAAATAATTTATTGTTAATCATTTTTAAAAATTTAACCAATATTTATGCTTTTATAGTTTTTCTTTTGTTATAATCACATCTATAGATGCGTCATCAAGAAATTTTTATCATATGACACAAATTTAGAGATAGTTTTGATACGCCACCAACAAATCATCATAATCCAGCACGAATCTCGATGCAATATTTTGAGCACGAACATTCAAACTTCGATTGCGAGTCATCCGGAACTCCGATTTATCCAATCAAACCTATATAAATGAATTCAATCAATTTTGGAGGTTTTTAATGAAGGGAGTTTTTTTATTAGGAGGAAGATGGAAAAGAAAGAGCTAAGACTCTGCCAAAAGAATGGTTAAATCTTATTTAATTCATTATATACAACTAATTAAGCATGGTTTTACAATTTCTTTCATAAAAGACTAAACCGAGGCTAATTTTAGGGCTTGAGAAGCATACCTTAGCCTAAGAGGTTTGACCTTAATTGGGATTTGCAAACATGTTTGTGGTGACCTTGTGAAGCTTCTCCTTAGTTCAATTTGATCATAAATTGGGCCTATGTATGATCTTGGTGAAATGGTGGCTCGGTTTTGGCTTGGTTTTGGCTTAGACTATAGACTAGGTTAAGGACCTTGGGATGGCTAGATTTTGATTAGGGAGGTGTCGTGAGAATCTTAGAAAGCTTTTAGATGCTTAGGCTAGAGTTTTGATAGGGTTCATGTCTAACCCAAAATTTTTCCTGATTTTGTCCTGAGAAATTAGGCTTTGTTGATGGATTTAAGAGGATGAAAATGTGGGGGATTAATTGCCTAAGGGATGAGGAGTAAGGTTGATATTCAATGTCAAAGGATTCAAAGGCTCTAGGTAAAGATTTTATGTGCATTGGGGCTCTTGAATTAAGGCTTTAAATAGTCATTGAAGGCCATCAAAGAGTTTGAAGAGAATTAGAGATGATGAGTTGTTGCTCAGGGAACTTCAGGAGATAAAATTTGGCCATGGATAGTCAAGTTTGCCTTTCCCATGGTGTGCCCATCATAACTTTAAGCATGGAGAAGAAGGTGGGCTAGGGATGATTTGGAGCTCATTGGAGGAGAGGGGAGCTGGATAATGAGCTTGAAACTTGGTTGATTTGACCACTCCAGCGTGATACAATGAGAATTTGAGTGGAAGCCACATGGGATGCCATGTGTACTCTTCTTCATGATGACTTGGCTAAGTCAATTTTTAGTGGATTAAGGGGTTTGTAATGGGTTTCCATGTCATGGTGGGTCTCACTGGGTCATGGGTTACTTAAGAATGATGGGCCAAGGATACTTTTGGGCTTGGGTTTCCATGGATGAACTTGAATTTCTTCATGGTTGGGCTTGGGCTAATCCCTTCATGACATTTCTAATTAATTAATTAATTGATTAATTAATTAATTAAATTAGATAAATGTAATAAAACTAATTCCATAATGTTGATTAATCATATGACCATAGGGTTGACCATATGAACTCATTTAGACATAGGGGTGATCATTTGGGGTTAAGTTGACCATATGGTTAATGTGTTAGTCATATGGGGCTAAGTTGACCATATGGGGCTCGTTTCACCAAATCATCAATTTGGTTATCATAGGGTCTAGGGCTGACAAAATGGTTAATGTGGGGACATAGGGTCCAGGGTTGACCAAATGGTCATTGTGGAGCCCATTTGGAGTGTGATGGTCAATTTTGTTCTAAATTACGGTTTGACATCATTGGTTTGACCTGCCAAAGGTGTCAACAAATTTTGAGTTCAAAAAGGGCACACTAGAATTTTAGTCTGATTTTTAGGGTTTGAAGGCCTTGTGTGGAATTAGAGATCCATGTTCATAGATCCCTTCCCCAAAATGAATTTAGAGGTTGGTGGTAACCCCTGAGGTCCACGGGCAAGTTCCTAGGGTCTATGGAGAGATCCCTATAGTTTCTAATGGATTTAAGTGACCTGGGGCATTTCCTACCCATAAAGGTCAATTTGGGTTTCCCTACTTGGTCAGAACTCTAAGTTAGTCCAACCAATGAATTGTGGTAAGTGGGTGAATCCTCACAAAAGTGAGGTTAACATTGGAATGAGTGAAGAAATGAGAGAGAGAGAGAGAGAGAGAGAGAGAGAGAGAGAGAGAGAGAGAGAGAGAGGGGGGGGAGGGGGAGAAGTGAAGGTCTTGGTTGGTGGTGTAAGTGGAGAGAAAGCTCACAACTCAAGAGGCAATGTGGATTGAAAGGTGGGTTGCCTTTGTTTTCACTAGATCTATGGGGAAATACAGAGAAATATATGAAGTTTTTAAGTAATCGTTGGTGATGAGAGTAAAGTGG